ATGCCGTGTAACTAGTTCTACCTCTGATGCTTCTGTCTGTGTCACTTTCAATCAATCACTTTGCATCTTGGGCCTGTGGCATGGGGATGCCGTAGCACAGTGGCTGCTGCTGCTGCTTGGCTCAGGTGTCTCTTGGCTGTTCCTGCTTAAAGGGGGAAAGTATCTACAAATTAAGTGTCTTCTGTAGTTCAGTTAAAGATACGGTCAGTATTATCAAGCCCTTGGTAGGGAGCTCCACTTCGTTGTGCAGCTGTACCCCAAACAAAACGAACTGTGTTCAGAGATTGTCTTCTTGCTCTTGTCTGTCTCTAGCGAGGGGGTGACTTCAGGGGCACAGCCTCACCTGCTCAGTGTCCCTGAGCTGTGCCACTGTCTGGCAGAGAGCTGGGTCACCTTCAGGCTGTACCTGCAGGAACTGCTACAGTACAAGAGGCAAAATCCTGCTAAGGTAAGCTGGAGATACCTACTCTTCTGTGCAGGGGCTTTTCTCTCCGTTGCTAATGGCCTGGGAGATGGAGGAGTGTCAGATCAATATTTTTACATTTGCTGTCCTTGTTTAACGTTTGCTGTTCCGTACTTTCAGACTATGCCACAGGAGGCTCAAGTAATGAGTAATTGGCTTCCAGTATTTGTAAGCTGGAGATGAGCTTAACCCCTTCTGTGAATGGCTAGTTATGCTTCGTTTTATTTCCTGGAGTGCAAAGGAAGCTCTTTGATTGGCAGTGAGGAGAAAAAGGGAAACCTACAGTCTCTGCCCTTTCACAGGCTCCACTCAACCCTTTAAGCTTGTCCTACTTACTTTGCGGATTGCTGCTAGCCAGATCCAAATGCAGCAGTGTTTCTGAGTGCATGGAAACTTGTCATAAAGCATGTTCTGATGGCTGTGAACGTGTGTTGTTTGGAAAGGGTTTGTAGATGGGAATTGCCTTAGCATCATGAAAAAATATGACAGAGCAGCCACTAGGATTATATTAGGCTTGCTGGAGTCCATTGAGCCAAAAAAGCAGGTTCCTGTCACTTCCGATTGTTCCTCTTCTATTACGACGCTGAGTAGCAAGGAGTAGGGGAGTGGGACCAAGATGCCCATAAAGCGCGAATTCATTGGAAGCAAAGCCCTGAGAGCGCCCTGGCTTTTGTAGAGCCTCTTCATTACGAACGAAGCTTTCCACTGCTGGATATAGTTAGTATCTCAACCCATGCCCTGGCTTGCAGGGTGACTGTTGTTGCTTCTCCCCATCCCCAGGAGAATGCAGGACAAGCCGTCAGGGCTGTTATACTTCCACTTTCTCTAGAGGAGCAAGACTCTGGTCTGGTGAAGTTGTGGATTCTGCTAATGCTTCTGCCAGCTCGTTTATTGCATGGCAGTGGCACATCATCTGGTGACTCCGTAACAGCTTCCTGTCTCTGTCAGGACAGTACCGGCTTCTTTAAAGTTCTGAGCTCTGCAGAGGAAATGTACTCTAAAATGACAATTTACAACATCCTCTCCTAGCCTCAGGGAAGAGCATTCAGTTCATAGAGAAGGTTTCAGAACTTTCCCAAAGCTTTATTTAATTTTACTGGGGTCTTGGGCTACCTTGGTCTTCCTGTGCTTAAATCTCTTTGTATGCTTACAGCTTAACGCAGCCAACTTGTCCAAGTTGTGATCGTGAGCATCTGAACACACTCAGTGCAAAGCTGGGCGAGAAAATAAACCCTTGGACTGCTTTCAGGGAGTTTGTCCTACTGACTTTGTTAGGGGCATCTCTCATTTGCTCTGACTGGGTTTCCTGCACCAGATGCATAGATCTGTCTCTGCCTCTTGTCACTTCTGTTTGTTTCTCTCTCTCTCTTTCTTCAGTTCTGCATGAGTGTCTGTTCAGGCTGCCTGATTCTGGCTATAGTTGGACACTATGTTCCAGGCATAATGATCTCCTACATCATTTGTGAGTATAAGCAGCTCTCTTGTCTGACTTAAGCTAAAATGTGACCCACCTGTACTGTTGATAAGCTGGTAGAAGCATACCTGTGGCTTTCTTGAGGGGATCTGTGCTAGATGACAAATCAATTCAGGCAATGTGCCTTAGGTAGTCTCTTGCTTTCAGCGTGTGCGTGCAGTACAGCTGCAAAGTCAGGAGAGGGAGCCGTGGTTAGAACACTGCTTTCCTCCTCCACCCACTGCTAGGGCCCTGCTGGCCAGAGAAGCAGAAAACTGCAGGCTCTCAGTTCTTCGAGTGGGCGAATTCATATCTGCCAGGCTTGAAATGGAGAGTTATTAAAGAAATGGCACGTTTAGCTTTAAGTGAGACCTTTTCTCACTGCAGCGTGAGTCCTGCTAACTCTGAAAACTGTTCAGGTGATCTGCTGCTAGCACGTCTACATATGAGCTGTATGCTGCTACCCTTATAAAAGTCTCAGTGATTTTTATTTTAGTGAGCCCACTTCAGGGACTCTGTTGCATGTTCAGGCTGGGACATGGTAGCTGAAGTGGAGGGCTTATGCATAAACCTAATGTAGATCAGTATCCTAATGTGAATGAAGACAGAGATGTGTTAGGAAAAGCTGGCTAATTAAGCAACTTCAGAATGAGTGGGAGAGCCAAGCATGAGGATTTTAGACATAGTCAGATGGGAAAGCAACTGTCATCTAACTGTGCTTTCCTTGAGGCAGAGTTTCTTGCTGGCGCCCTTTGAAAGGGCCGGGTTGCGCTCGGGCTGGCTCTCACACTCCCTGCATCCTGTGTTCACAGTGCTCAGCATTCTGCTCTGGCCGCTGGTGGTTTACCACGAGCTGATCCAGAGGATGTACACACGATTGGAGCCTGTCCTGATGAAACTGGACTACAGCATGAAGGCAGAGACGCTACACCACAAGCACGAGAAGAAGAGTAAGGACCTGCCTTCTCTCTGACTTTGTGCAGTACTGTGTTCTGAACATGAAGCTCTAGCAAAGGGGCGGTGGAGGGGCATTTCTGACAACAGCGTATGGGTGAAAGGCTGCGTTGGAGCCGAGGAAAAGAGACTGAAACTTGAGAGTTATGAGGAGGGTAACTGGGCAGGTAACTGCCTATTATCCTGTGAATAATAGAGCAACAGATTAGAATTGCCTCTGGGAACCTTGGGATTTTGGGAAACCTATGCAGTGTCACAGAGCAGGGGAAGCAGTGGATAAGTGATGCATAAAAGAATAATGTTCCTGGCTTCAGTCTCATGTCAAAGCCTTTCTTCCCTTTCTCACAGAGCGACAAGGGAAGACTGAGCCTGCAGCAGGTGATGAGCCAACAGCGGAGACGGAGAGTGAGAGTGAGGCAGAGCTATCTGGCTTCTCCCCAGTGGTAAGAGCACAGAAGAGCTATGCAGGAACCAGTCCCTCCTCCATGGTCTGTAGCAACTTGAGAACTGAGGGGTCGTCTGAGTACAGCCATGCTGGTAGCAACCAACAGAGCAGCGAGTCACTTTGCAAAATCCCAAGGGGGGAAGGGTGTTGGTTTGGTGAAAGCCATTGTCTCCAACCTGGGTACTGCAAATCCAGTGTTGCAGGGCTGGTGATGCAGTAGCAGGGCAGAATGAGCCATGCTCTGGCCTCCTCTGCTGACCTGCAGAACTGCTTTGATGCTAACACTTCATGGGCAGAGAATGCAAGTGTCACCTGAAGAAACCAGCTGTCTTGGTGTTACGTGCAGAGGCTCCGCTTCAACTCACCACTGGAAAGGGGAGGGGAGCAATACTAGCACCTGCCTTTGCTGAAGCTCTGGGCTTGAAGCTTTCGCTTCCAAAGGAATGCAGATACTGGACCTGCTGCTGCTTGTAGAAGTCTTCATAGGGCCCAGTGTGACAGGAAAGAGGGTGCTGTGCTCCTTGGTGGTCCCAGGAGAGGAGAAAGGCACAAAGGCCTTTGCAGAGAGACCTCAAGGAGCAAAATCCCTGGCTTGCGCTAGCTCTTTCAGCGCCAAGAGCCAGCAAAGTTTCAGGCAGTGCCTTATTGCAGGAGAGCGCTGAGCCAAGACTGTCTTTCCCTGACAGTGCAATGATCGCTTTGCACATCCCTTCCTGTTTTCGTACTGTCCCTGTGCAGAGTCTTTCCATCAAAGAATAGCTGCCTGGAAACTCTTGTTGGTGTGGAGGAGCCCATAGGCAGCAATGGTAGTCAGGCACCCAGGAGTTTGTTTCTCTGCCTTCATCCCATGTAGGTGGATGTGAAGAAGACGGCCCTGGCACTGTCGATCACAGATTCTGAGCTCTCTGATGAGGAGGCTTCCATCCTGGAGAGCGGGGGCTTTTCTGTTTCAAGGGCTACCACCCCACAGCTGACAGATGTTTCTGAAGGTATGTGATGAGACACTTAATAACCTTCCTTGCCCTGGATGTTTTGTCCCAAAACAACTTTGTGGTCCCAGTAAGGCCATCTCTTCTCCCTCCCATCCATCCTAACAGGACAATAGGGAGAGAAGACAGCTATTTGCAGGGGAAAGTGTGAAAGAAGAGAAACTAGTAATAGCAGCAAAGCGTGTCCTGACTTAATGGGTGATCCTGAGTTGGTCCTGACTGGATATCCGCCTCCAGCTACACAAGACAATGTTCTCCTGTCACTCCGAAAAGGGAGCAAAGCCATCCTCAAAGTCTTTGCTAATTGGCAGAGAACAGGAGGATGGAACAAACCAGCAGAAATAATTGTACGGTGCATATAGTTCCACACCTGTGCATTGATGCTGGGTGAAACAGGTCAGAGCCCCCACCCTGCCAGACTTACAAGAAAGACTGGTTAGTGGTGAGGAAAGTGGAGGTAATCGCTCAGATGTGATCACTTGAGTGTCTGGGGAAGAATAGGCAGGTGAAGCACTGTGAGCGTGATTTCCCTGACCCTGTGCCATGGGTTTCAGAGAAGGGCTGCAGATGCAGAGGGCATGAGCTGGGGAAGAAGCAGTCTTCCCTGAGCACAGAGCATGTAGAGCAGGATGAAAGAAGAGGCACTGTAGGTGAGTTGTCCCACTGGGAAAAGGAAATAACTGCAGACACCTTCCTGCTGTCCTCTCAGCGCTGGGAGGACTTCCAGGAGTGAGCCTTGGTGTGTCAGCTGGGAGTAAGCGGATGGGAGGTGTCAGCAGCCTGGGTTGAGGCAAGGGGGCCTGCACCTTAATGCCCTTGCTAATGCTGGTGCCTTTCAGACCTGGATCAGCAGAGCCTGCACAGTGAGCCAGAGGAGTCGTTTTCCAAGGACCTTGCAGAGTTCCCGTCCGTGGAAGAATATCATTCCAGAGACCTGGGACCACAGAGCGATGAGGAGGCCTTTGGTGTGCCTCTGGGTCCTGAACTTGCCCATGCTGCCCGTGAGCTGGACTCAGCAGAGAAGGAGGCAGCGGACTCTGACCTCTCCATCCTTCACCTAGCGTCTCCTCTCCATTTTGTAAATACGCACTTCAATGGGAGCGGGCAAGCGGCAGGAGGCGACGCAGAGCCAAAGATTGCCCCTGCTCCGGGTCTGGGCATCTGCATTGACACACTGAGCGAGGAGATCGTCACCACTGCCATTACCACGGCAGTGCAGAACACCCTCTCTGCCCTGCTGCGATCCTCAGAGGCCAGCGAGGGGCCCTCCCTCTCCGAATTCCTCCCCACTGAGCCCGAAGAGAAACTGAGTTTCCAAGCACAGCTGTCAGAGACCGAAGCAGTGGAGGCAGAGACAGCAGCTTCACCAGAGGACGAGGAGGAAGGAGATGACTTTGAGCTACTGGATCAGAGGGAGCTGGAACAAATGGATGTAGAGCTGGGGCTTGGAGAGGAGCAGGAAGCACAGGAATCTCCTGCTGCTCTGGCTTCGGCTTCCCCCTCTGCCACACTGGCTGACCTGCCAAAGCAAGGAGATGAGGAGGAGGCAGTGATGACAGCAGCATCTATGTCTTAGGTCTTTGTGCGTCCCCTTTTTCTCCGTTGTCGTTGAAAAGAAGGAATAACTCACGTGCAAACATGCAGTGGGTTTTTAGATATTTATGTTGACTGGGATGGAAAAGTGTCAGTGTTAATGTGCTGTGTCAGGAATAACCAATCCTTTCCCTCCTTCTAGAGCCCAGCCTTCACTGGCTGAGTGGGAGAAGCCCCTGCCCTGCAGCTGGGGAGGAGCCGGCTCATAGAAGCCTTACACCACAACTGAAACACCAACCCCAGCAAATGCTTCCTAGTAATGGTGCAGTATTTTGGTCTGTCTTCTGTTTGTCTTTCGTTTTGCACGCAGAGTACCGAGCTAGCTGTAGCTGCTGCTAATACCCAAATTCCCAGTAGGACATATGCAATCTTATTTTATTGGGTTTTTAAATGGCTGTAAATGTAAATAATTTTAACTTTCACTGGTTTAGTTTGGGGGGAGGGATGAGGTGGTCAGTCAAATTTGGCTCTCAGGGGCTAGGGGGAGGGGAAAGGGGGTTTTGGGGGTGGAGGGTGGCAGTACAGAGAGGGAAGCAGATGGGTTCTGCGAAGCAGAGAGACCCTTTCTGCAAGCCATTAGCATTTTTCACATCACTGCTGGAACAGGGTGTCGGGCGACACCTGGTTTCTTCCATGTCTGACTTGAGTTACGCTACTGTGTGGCTGCGGAGTTTTTTGCAATCAATGAAGTTCACTCCTGGCCCCCGTTCAGTACTCCAGTTTCTTCCTGCCTTGGCTTCCTCCTGCCCGTTTCTCTGTCCAGACCGCTGCCCTCAGCTAGCTTGGTCCAGCACCCCTTCCCGGCTCGGC